TTCCTGCCCAGGGCAGGGGGTCGAACTTGATAATCTGCTGAGGGCCCTTACATCCCTGAAAATCTATTAAATCTATAACACGACTGATAAAAACGAAACACACAAAAGGGCTGAGAGTGGGTTACATTTCTCTCAAAATTGTCCTGGCCTTAACACTACTCTTGAATCTGGCTAGTGACCTCAGCCTCCCAGACATCACCTTTTAAAAAGGGTAGCAATGCTGTGTTTGGTTAACCTTCTGTGAAAATGGAATCCGCCCATCCATCCCCCTCAAGACATGCATTCCATCACTTCAGCTTAGTGTACTGCATTACTTGTTCCTGTTAGTGTGAACGCGAAGTTCAAAAGTCAAAGCATTTAGTATGAGATAATAAGAATGAACAGTAATAAAAGATTTTTACAGTTGGTGTTTTGAGTACCTGACTTGGAGAGAACCTTTCCCCCAAAGGAACTGGCTGTTGCACAACTGGTATCCCATCTGGGAAGCAGAGTGCAGGGTAGCAAAACCAGTAATAGAAATGATATTTTTTTAAATCCTAAGGAAAAAAAAATACACGTTAGATAAGATATTTGTAAATATAAAAGTGTGTGTAAATATAAAATACATGATCTAGTGATGGAGAGACTGCTTTGCACATAAAATGGTGCATATATATATTTATTTAGTTTGAGTAAGAGTAAGGGGTACACCATATATCAACACATATTCAACTGACAGGCATAGATGAAAGGAATTTTCTCATTTAGAAAAGGGCTTCACCAGCCCCTGCACCAAACGGAAGAGAACCTTAACTAGCAAATTAAAAAATATGTTATTAGAATACTTCCAATTAAAGCCATGGCCATGTTCCTGTAAATACTTTTGCATGCGCCTAATTTGATCATAGGAGCATATAAGTAAGAACAAGTACAAGTACTATGCAGAACTGGAGCAAGGACTTGCATAAGAAAAGTTTCTGCTCTGTAAGAGATGACAGCAACATTTTAAATGATTTGCCAGAAGTCACACAGATCTGCTACAGAGCTGGGAACTGAACCCAGGAGTCTTGTCTCCTAGCACCCATCACACTCTTTGCACAGATCACTGTAAGCCTGTGAAGTGTTTGCTGGTGGTCTGTAGATAGCTGGCTAGCCATATGGTGCTGGGTCTCCTTTCTACCTGCTGAATTGCATCAACACAGAAATAGACACAATGAATACTATCCCACTACTTGTGAAAACCTAAAAATTATATGATAGCAACTGCTTTTAATGGTAGTACAAGCCTCATGTTTAGAAAACACAGTCCAGCTCTGTATAAAAATAAACAAGTGATATGTTAATACATGCACAATGTAATTTTGAAAGGATAAAGATGGAATTTCTACCATCTTTTTAAAAATGATCGCTGTGACCAACATGAAAATATGGATTTACCATATTTACTCTGTTTTAAGACTAGCTCCCCCACTCAACATGGGGATAAACACCCTTTGTCTTAGAATTGAGCATGACAGTGGTAGGAGGGCAAGCAGCTGCTGTGGCTCCTAGGAAAAGGGGAAGATGGGGAAGCAAAGGCAGGGGGTGGGTGGGAGGAAGGAAGCAGGCAGGGGGCAGGCACAAGCAGGGGACCAGCTACTTGACCTCCCTACAACCTGCCCCGCCACTGGCTGTTCCCCTGCAGCAGTGATGGGGGGATGAATTAAAGATGACCCTCCAATAATTAGATGCTATACATGGAAAAGTATAACAAATTTATAAAATTTCCATGTATAGCATCTAATTATTGGAAAGCCATCTTCAATTCAGGATCATCTTAGATTCAAGTAAATATGGTACCTCTAACTGTTACAACTGAAAAACATGGTGGATTTTTCTTGACAGAAGTATTCCCATGGGGCTGGCAGGAAGTAACAGAAAGCACAGCATGTTATTTTGGTACTGCTTTATTTTGACTCAATCTTAAATTTGAATTCATACTCTTAAAATGTCTTTATTCAGGTGTTCATGGTTTTATGTAATCTATGTAATTTCATCTTTGGTAATTTAAGAGACTAGTAGTGCAAATGCACCGGCGTGCACACACAATAGCTGAGCACCATCATGCACATAGTTATGCCTTTAGGAATATACAGAAACTTGATGAAACATACAATTCAACTTTAAATCAGAAATAAAAGTTGAATACAGTAACCATTTGTCCAGTGTGACCAATGCTATTATTTTGAACATTAAAACCTTCTGCTAAGAAATTTTTTTTTTCATATGGGAATGTCAGAGAAAAAAAAAAGAATCAGATTAGATTAAAAGTTAAGTGAACATTAAGCAGTTCTATATTTACCCTAGAAGGAAGAAAATTCCTTGAAGTCCAATTAAAGACAGATCTACTAGACATGCCTGTAAACAGTCTCAAAAGGATATTTTCAAATGTGCAAGAGGTCTATAAATATGGCCCTGCCCAGTAAAAGTATGGCCCTATCCATGCTCAATTCCATGGGACAATATCTCGCCTTTAAATTTAGTATATGAACATAATTAAGGGCTGGGATGGATTGAACACCTGTAAATACCAGTATGTACAAAAACAAGGTAAATAAAGTCATTGAGAGAACTACATGCAGTAACAACTCTGACATATTAAACCAAACTCTTAAAACTGATGTTTTTAGACTTTCAAAATAGATTACAGGATTTAACAACTCAGCTAGTATTAACCTTGACAGAAACAGCAAGGCTTTGAGAAGCTTCAGCAGCTGATTCAATTTGGAGGAGATTTGGCCCAATTTGGTAGCCAAATCTCCAAATCCGAATTGAATTGAGAGACCCATTAGAAGGTCCAAATCCAACTGGAAGCCTCCAAATCAATTCAGAAAAGATTCAGCGCCGATTTGGAGAGTTGGCCATAGACTAAACAGGCAGCAGTCCTCACCTGTTGGGCAGAGTGGGGAAGGAAGGAGTGTAGGGAGGGGGGCAGATCAAATGCCCCCACAGTGAGGGAGGGATTGGGGCTGGGGCTAGGGCTGGGACCAGGGCTGGGGCACACACCAATTTCCATGCCTTCCTGAACTGGCGGCACGCAGTGGCGGGAGCCCCCTTCCCTGAGTCCTGTTCCCCCCCCCGCCCCAGGTGGGCAGGTTGCCCCAGCCCCAGATCCCCCCCCCCTCACTGTGGGGGTGTTGATCTGTCGAGGTCCATGCCCCTTCCCTCCCCCCTCCACCCACCACAACAGATTTACCAGCTGGAGGCAGCTGTGTCTAGCATCGAGGACTGCTGCCTGTTTAGCTTATGGCCAAATCTCTGACTCACCGAATTGAATCACTAGCCCTCCAAATCAGTCAAATCCAAGTTGAATACTTGGCACTTCGCACTGGCCTAATTACACATACACACGCACACCCCCATATCCATATCCAGCTTGTCTATATACCATAGTTCATTCATAGCATCTGACCAAGTATGTTGTTGTCTATGAAAGCTCATGCCTCCCAGACCCAGTTAAGTTCTGCCCTCCCCTACCTTTTGTCTGACTTCAGACTAAGATAGCTAACTACCTCCGTGCATACAGCTGAAACAATTCTGCTCATTTCAGAGGTTATGCAATGCTGCCCAATACAGTAAAGGTGTTTAGTGCTCTAAATTCCATAACTCCTGGGATACTTTCAGTAACAGGTTTTAATTACACTAGAACCAAATCAGTCTTTAAAGCCAAATAAATGAAGTAACATGCAGTTTACTTGGCACAAACTGATGTTCTGTTTGCTTGAACTATAGGATTAATTTCAAATGCTTTCTGTAGCTGGCAAAGTAAATTCATTTTAAGACGCCCTGGAGAGGAAAAAGACACACAGTGCATGCATATCATGAGCTCAGTCATCTCTGTTCCAAAAGTTACTATGTCAAACTTCTGAATAGCATTATCATTCATTTTCACACGCATGGTTTTGACCAATATTTGTTAAAACTTTCAATCATTTGGATCTGAGTAGTGTTAAAAAAAGAGCTTTCTAAACTAATTAACTATATTGGGGCTATCCAACTGGCAGTCCATGGGCTGCATGTGGCCCTCAGTCTTCTGCCCAATAGATGCTGTCCCCATCACTGCAGCAACTTAGGTACTTGGAGTGTTCAGACTCCTCCTGCCTCCTCCAGCTTGTGCTTCCTGCCTCCATTTCTGGAAGTGGAGCAGGATAGGGCCAAGTACCTGAGTGCCATACACGTGGCAGGGGAAATTCAGTTTGCCCTCACCACGAGCTAAGTGCACCACTGAAAGTGAGTTTTCACTGCCTGGGCTTTGCTTGCAGTGGGGGAAAGCCCACATGGCCCACACAGCAGGGGAAAGCCCGGCTGCTCAGGGCCCATGTGGCATGCCACCCCTCGCCATCCAGACATTAGACAGCCCTGGACTAAAATTCAGATGTGCCAATCTGTTGAGGCAATCTGCACTGAGGTTTTGCAAGTACAAGTTGGATAATGTTAGGGTATGTGCTGCTTTCAATGATCTGTCAGAGATCGGTGCAAATGCCTTACAGAGTATTGGACAGCAAATGCCTTATTGAGTGCTACTGACGGATTTGCAAATTAAGATTTTGGGTGTGTGGGATGTCCTGATGCAAGCCTCACTGTTATGGAAACAACAGCTGTGCCTAAAACTGCTTGTGAATCACTACAGGTTGAAAAGTATATATAAAAAAAGAAGTGTTAGAAACTATTCAACATAGAAGCCAAGCATGTGTATCCCTGCAGTGATAGATAACTGAGAAATATTCATTCATTTTCAGAATTGGGACATTCATTTTCACCTTCCCACCTCTCCAGTGAACTCACCAACTGAGAAATGTGCAACTAATCTTTGTGGGTTCCTTGATCAGGCTTTACTTTTACTGTCTTCAACTGAGGAAGAACTTTAAACAACTGCAGTAAGGTGTTTTCATATAAAGAATTGTAGAATCCTTTATATTAATGGAAAAGAAAAGTTCATAAATTTAAACTCAATAATATTAGTACTTTCATAGTCTCATAGATTGTAAGGGACTGGAAGGGACCGTGCAAGATCATCAAGTCCAGCCCCCCTGCACTAGGCAGTAAAGACATCTGGGGTCAGGTGACCCCAGCGAGGTGACCGTCCAGTCTCCTCTTGAAGATTTCCAGGATAAGTGATTGCACCACCTCTGTAGGGAGTTAATTCCACAGTATGGACACCCTGACTGTGAAGAAATTTTTCTTAGTGTTAAGCCTAAAAAGGTCTTCCAGGAGTTTGTGGCCATTACTCCTAGTTTTCTTCAAGGGTGCCCTGGTGAATAGTTGTTCACCGAGCCCTTCATATATTCCCCTGATATAGCTACCAAGTCCCCCCTCAGCCTTTCCTCATGTGGCTTGCCTTGCAAGTCTCTAATCATACAGGTGGCTCTTCTCTGGACTTTTTCAAGCTTTTCCACATCCTTGTTGATGTGCAGCACCCAGAACTGCAGCTGGAGCACTGCATCCAGTCTCACCAATGCCGAGTAAAGCAGAAGAATCACTTCCTTGGTTTTGCTTGAGATGCACTGGTTGATGCATGCCAGAGTATCGTTTGCCCTGCTGGCTACAACATCACACTGAAAGCTCATGTTCATACTATGGTCTATTATTACCCCTAGGTCCCTTTCAGTCATGGTGCTAGTCAGTTTGGTGCCACCAAGCCTGCAAGTGCCTGCTATAGTATCCTCACTGAAAAGCTAATAATACATTCTTATTTCTATTTGAGTATTCAAAATGTGGAATGAATTAAATTTACTCACAGCAAAAGTCAGCAGCATAAATTTATTCAAGAGCATAGGGTTTTCAAGAGCAGTCCCTGATTTTATTGCCTCCCATATCTGTCAGGGAAAAACAAATGAGAAAAAAAAAGCATCAAGACATAAGTGGAAGAGAACTGCGTATGTTAAAAGATCAAACAATCCCAATTATCCAGTGATCTTTCATCACCTGATCCCACCCAGAAATAAACATATGCTATAGCAGTCACCACTGGTTATGTATTTATCAAGTGTTCTTGTTTGCGTGGGGTGACGCGATACCTCCAACTTGGGCTTGAAGTTGCATTTCATTGTGCCAGGCAAGCAAACGTATAACTGTCCAGCACTGTGCCCTGGGTGGTGGCAGCACACAGTGCTGAAGCAACCACCAGAGGTTTGCCGCTACGGAAATTGGGAGGAATTGTCACCTTTTCTTTTGCCTCTGACACGTGTTGAGCAGCCATTCAACACTGATTTCCAGTGGTAAACAGATAAAGGAGACATCTACTTGCCTCCCCACAGCAGCAAACCTCCGGCTACTGCTGCTACACTGTGCACCACTGTTGTTCTGTTCTCCCTGCAGTCAGGGCTGGAGCTACTGCAGGGAAGGTGAAGGGGAGCTGTTGCTCCTGCTGTTGGCACGTGGCCTCCCTGCTTCTTCCACTACACAGACAGCATGCAGCCCCCACACATGATACCAGTGGCATTCAGTGCCCCCCTACCTCCCACCATGTGGGTTGTGCATGGAACCCTAGCCCTTCCTCCTCTGCAGTGGTGAGAGGTTGCTGCTGCAGTCTGTGGGCCATATGTTAAGCAGGCTGCCATTTGCATAGCCCAGACCTACAGGTACTGAAATTACCTCAATGACAGAAGAGTCTTGTGAGCCAAAGGAAGGTGGCAATGTATACAGTTCTAAACAAAATCAACCAGCTGAATTTATTGTTAGTGGAATAAGCTAGATTTTTTTACCTCTCTCTTTATTGCAAAGGGACAAAGTTAGTGTATCATCATCTTTCACATGGCAAAGCTGCACAACTAAGGGAAAAATAATGACCTTGAAAGAGGAGACGTGGAAAAAATTCTGCTAACCAAGGCCTGCAGGTAACCTAGATGAGCAAGTGAGGTCAAGGGAAAACAAACAGCAGATACAAGCAGCAATTCAAAAACATTCTTTTTCAGGTTATAAAATCTCTCTCAGCCACTGATACTGCAAGTGCTCTTCAAGAAGCAGGTGTAGTCCTTCCCTAGCCTTCTCCTCCTGTTCAGCCAGGCCAAGTAACCTTCCTGCCAATGTATCTCCTTCATCTCCATTTTATCTTGGGATTCCCCCATTACTTGTACTCCAAGAGTGCACTGTGAGAATCTAAAGACCAAAAGCAGGCACTAGTTCATTTATGGGTTTTACAAGAGCTATGTAAGAACCCTCTTCAATGCAAGTAACTGACAAATTGAAAAGAGTTGCTAAGATTAGAGAATTATGTAGAAGGATTCACCATGCTGGCTACTGAGGACCATCAGCTAATTGCTGCTGCTCCCTTCAACAGATTGCACCTGAAGTGGTAGTTAGATGGGTCAGTGAGGAATGATAATACCTCCAGCATCCAGGGCTCAAGCTGTGAAGTAGTTTATTAGTTTTATCCAAACCCTTGCTGCTCTAGACATTTTTAAGTCTTACCTCATTGGCTGCTTTTTCCAAAAGCAATTTCTTATCACAGGATTTGAAGGATTCAAAAGTGTTGGTGTTGTAGAGTGTTCCAATTGCAGGACAGCAGCGTGCTGGGGTCACAGCATTCCTGAGCAGGGGACAAGAACTTTTAGAACTAGGTACTACTACTGTAGCATGAACTGAACTAATTATAGCTGATGTTAACATAGAGTGTAAAAGCAGTGAAATATAACCATGCTAGTCTTGTCCTGTAAACAACTTGAAAACTCCATTTTGTATCCTTCTGCTTGACATAAGTGAATGAACTCTGCATAGCCTTTATGTATGAGCGTGTGTAAAAGGTTGAATGGCGAGAGAATGGCATAGAGATGGCAGAAGATTTAAGCGTTTATGTAAGCAGCAAGGTGCCAAATGTTAAGTTACCAGTCAGTAAACTAATTAATGAATGGCTGAAGAATCCCTTTTAGGCCTAGGGCACAAAGAAGATAACAAGGAGATGGAACGCACCCATCCTGCCAGGCGGGCAGCAAGAACGCTCCAAGGCTAAGATAAGCAAAAGACAAAAGAAGAACAACCGCAAAAACAGAAGCTGGGTATGGAAAAACCCCAAAACACTGAAAACAAAGGATGCCAATCCCTATAAAACAACACTTTGAAAATGCCAAGTTGGGCGAGTCTCTTTCTCTACTGCTGTTTCATCAGAGCACAGATGCATCTGTTCACCCAGTTCCAGCTGTTATCTTCAAATCTGCTATCTTCAAATCATCATCATCTTCTCAATAAGCCCGGGGTGGCCACCCTGAGCTGATATTAACTATTGCTGATAACTATATCTGGTGTATGTGTAGATGAAATGGTTGCTTTGTGTATGCCTGTGTGTAATGATGTGTATGATGATTTTTGTGTGTTTGTATGAATAGTGTGTCCGAACCTCTATGTCTAACTCATGTGATCAATAAACGTGGCACCTTGCCTTATAAAGTCTTGCCTTTATAAAGTCTCGCTTGTGATTTGAGCAATAGGTCAATTTGATAACACTACTGCTTTTCCCCCCTCGCTGATCACTAACAGTAACCAACTGCAGCTCTCTCACAGCAACTCCGTGCTGCAGTGACTTTTACACGTGGTAACCTTACAAACTGCAACATAATGAAGGACATCAAGATAAGCCAAGCACATCTCCTCTGAGAATGCAAACAGATAGTTTTTATAATGTGCCCTGAGCCCTGGACCAATTAGAGATGCAGCTCAAGAATTACTGGGGTGACTGGATTTGCTAACTTTTAAGAATAAAGATGCACAGTGCATCTCATGACACAAGGAAAAATACTTCTGTGGTATTAGAGAGAAAAGAAAGAGCTGAAGATTTAGTTTTTATCCCGCTAATAAAATATACAAGTTTTCCAAAGATATAGATTTGGCAAACATCATTTGATTTTATGAAGAGTTTACAAGGAACTGAAAGATTGTAAGATAAAGGCACCATATTTTTCTTGTAAAGATTAAAATAGTCAATGCATCTAGTTTCACATGCATAAGGTCTTTCCAAATGTCTACCAAGGATGTTATAGGTACTAGTCAAACCTATGATTAAGCAATGATCACTTCAATGCTAAAAAAAATAAAAAAATCTTAAACTGCAAATTCAGTTTTACAGAAACATGTGGCATCAACAAACGAGCAATGCAAATGGATTTAATTCCTTGGTTCATTTTTTCATCATTGCTGTGAGGCGATACATGCCTTGTACCAGCAACTCATCCATTAGCCAAAAAAAGAAATAAACTGTTTAATTAGAATGCACAATTAACATCCTGATAAGTTAACACACTGTGATGACACAGTCGCATCCCCAAAGCACTAAGATTCATCAACTGGTAATCTCAGTCTAAAATGAATGAGCTTTAAGAAAAGGTTAATGAAATCTATTTCTCCTTTTATTACTGCGCATCATTCCAGAGCTTCTCCCCCAACTCTTCTGAATACCAGGCAACATGTCCAGCAACACTATACACTTTTGTATGTACAATATTTTTCAACAAGGACCTTAACAGTCTCTACTAATATGATGGGTCTCTTACAATCCCCACCCTCTCCAAGGGGCACTTTGATATTTATACTGCCTGCCATTAAAATCCTACAGTTGGGTCAGTGTAGCTCAGGGACAGGCAATTATTTCAGCTGGAGGATGGCTTAACAAGTTTTGGTGAGCTGTCAAGGGCCATATGGGTAGCCATATTGGGACAGAAGTCCCTCCCCCTAACCTTTGACACTGGAAGTCCCTCCCCTTGCCCCCCCCAGAAATACTCCTTTTAGGAGGGGAGGGTTGCCATCTTGGAACCAGAAAAAAAACTAAATCATACACTAAAAGTCAAACACCTACTATAACATATTTTATTACAAAAAATATTTGTCATGATTTGTGTTTGCTTATTGTATATAGAGGGGATTGCATAACAACTCAAAAATAAAGTCTTACTTGTGTATATTGTGTGGGGGGGGGGTGCAGTTACGTGTGTGTGGGGAATCCCCACACCCTACCCAACTGAGCTCTGTGCTCCCACTGGCCGTCCTTGGTGCGAGCTCTGTGCTGCCGCCAGCCCCATGTTCCCTGTATCCACCCAGCTGCAACTTGCCCCTGCCCTGCCCACACACCTGCCGCTTCCCAACCTGCTGCCCAGAGCAAGCAGGATGCCGGGGAATACAAGTAGGTCCCCTGGGGCAGCTGCAGCAGTGACAGCAGCAGCAACCCTGGCCAGAAGCTGCTGCTGGCTGGGCTGGGCCCTTCCGCCCATGAGGGTGAGAGCAAGGTGCAATAGGGTATATTGGGGGGCAGGGGAAGGGTGTATACATGGGTGCCTTCCTTCCACCCTCGTGGGTGGTAGGGCTGGGCAGGGTACAATACTTTGGTGGGTGCCCGCAGGCCGGATGAAAGTGCCTGGCAGGTTGGATCTGGCCTGCGGGCTGTATTTTGCCTGCCCCTGGTTTAGATGAACTGCTACATCAGCAAATAACCCCATGACTTGAGTAGAGGGCAATACAGAATTGCTTGCAGAACTCACATTTCTTATTTTTGCTTTTTCAAATTAGGTGCTGGGGGTGGGGGGCAAAAATGTTTTTGTATTAACACTTTCAGATAAGTCAATAAGTATATAAGTACATACATACATACAAATTAAGGAGGTTTGCCTTACCTTTTGAAAAAAAATTCTGCTTTTGGATAGAGAGCAAGCTTAGAACATTATTTTTTTCAGTTATTATCAGGCAACTGCAGTAAATAAAAGCCCAAGTGAGAAAATTTCAGAGGACAAATGATGGAATGAACAGCAAGCATCTCTTTTTGAAACCATTAATGGAAAGGTGCTAAAAAGTGAAATGGTAGTACTGGAATATTACATTTGTCCCTGGACAAAGCAATTTATCCTGGGACAAAGTGCAATCGTCTATGTGCACTGCCTTGGGATAAATCCTAAAAAGGTTCATGAGTTAAGTATTAACCGTTTATCCTGGAACATTGCAAAGTGCATCTGATGGTTGTCTTGGGATTGCTTCTTTGAATCAATGGCGGAAAAGGAGTAGTTCATTTATTCTGATTGGAAAGATGATGTATATATACGCTAATTCCAGAATATTTCTTTTCCAGGACAGAAACAGGCACAACTTGTCCAGGGACAATGTAATGTTTGCTCTTAGCGAATTTTACTATGACTATAGAATTCCAGACAGCTTACTCTCATTCTAAAACACGGCTCACCTAATGTTTGAGATCCAGAGCTGTGTGTCCATTGGATAAAGACAACTATTAACATGTATACTTATTTTAGGCAAATAAATTTACCCAACTAATTTTAAGCATCTACTTGTTATTGTGATATGAGCAAAGATTCTTGTGCAAAGGGTTAGCACACTTCAAATTGTATAAAGGTACTTACACATCAAAGGCACTAAATTCCAGTGTTAAACGAGCTGGCAAACCAACAGGATCACCTACATAAAAACAAATATGCTTTTAAAAAAAAGTAGCCATGTGACAAAGGAGCAACAGATCTAATTTAATTCCTCAGTCATGTACCCTGTCCTGGCCCTGATGAAGCCAATCTATTATTTTTCATATAGCTGCACATTAGCAGGGATCCAGTTCTAGCCTGCAGGGAGCTGGGAGGGAGTAGAAAGAAGGTGGTCAGACAGGGGGCACCATATGCATGTGCGCACACACATGCACATGGCCCCAAGCAGCCTGGAGAGCAGCTCCAGCGGCTAAGTAGGTAGGGGTGGGGGGTACTGAGCTCCCATGTGGGGCAGGAGGGGGGATTGGGCAGAGCTGGGGCTGGGGCAGGGGCTGCAATGTGCGACTGCAGGGCCCCAGCAGGGAGCGGGACTGGGCTGTGGGCAGCTTATCTGGAGGGTGTGGGGGGTTCTGCTTTTAGAACCAGGAGGTTGTAGGGAAGAGTGAGGGGCAACAGCAGGACTGTGCCTTTTATTTTAAAAATGGATTTGCGATTTTTTTAAGCACAGAATTCGCAATTTTTTAAGCAGAGAAAACCAGGACCCCTGAACACTAGGCATACCAGCAATACACACAACTTATAGTTTGTCCTCTCCCTATTCCAGTGGTTCTCACCCCTTTTTTATACTCAAGGTACCCCTTAGAAATTACCAGCTCTTAGCTGTCATTCATTTTTTGACTATAGAAAAATAGAGCAATTTCTCCTGTTGCAAAGAACTCAGAAAGACAACAGGTCAGAATGTTTTTGACATCATGGATTCCCATTTGAATCTCGGGGTCTATCTTGTGAATTGTGTCAGTATTTGCTCAATTAACAGTGCTAATATTGCTTGGCACCCCACAGCAACCTTAAACGGATCGCACATCACCCTGGTTAAGAATCACTGCTCTATTTACCTTAATATTTCTGTGGAAGGCTTGTTATATGCTGTACAAATCCTACAACAGACATAAAGGAAAAGGACAGGAGAAAAGCTACTACATTTGGTAAAACAGCTCATTTTTGCCTACCATTATAATAATATCCTTTGATAACTTTTGGAGACTCATCTAATCTGTATTCATTGAGTTTCTTCTGGGTCAATTCATGCCAAAATCGTGCATCCAAGGCACTAGTAAAGGGAACAAACTGTAGTTTTGAGATTCCAGGTTCCACAGAATTGTGCTTCTCAGTAGCTGCCATTATTTTACTTAATTCATGCTGTTAGAAAAAAAGAAAAGATTGTTCCATGAGAAAATAAATCCTGAGAACAGTGTAGTGAGTTGATCATGTTCATTGCGGCTATCTGGTTTAAGAAGTTTTACTTTTCAAAGCCTAGCATATATCAAAGGCTAAACTTTTTTTTAAATAAAAACTCCTTAATGTACAAGCAATCCCTCCATGAGCAATGCTTCCTCCACACACTAATTCAGAGCTAGAAGAAAGAGAAGAAAAAAACTGATCTAACACGCACCTAAATGAAAGATGACCAAGCACAGTCCAGAAACCACATCTGGCTGAATCCTGCAGTTCATTCTTAAGTAAATGGTCTTCCACAGCAGTAGTACTTAACCTCTGGCCTGTAGGGCTCCCAGTGGGTCTGGATTTTTGGAGGCAATTAACTGCTGCAGATTTTACAGCAATTAACGTTGCTGGTTCCCTGGTGTCAAATTTCCAGACTCCTGGGCAGCACCGAGGGCCGGATGACATGGAGCTGGGCTGGCACACGAGCTCGCTCCGCAGACGTGATGCATCAGGCTGGCCAGGCCCTGAACAATGCATCCCAACCACAGACCCTACTCTGACCTTATGTTGGATCTAATCACAGACTGGCCCCACGTCACTCATCCAGCCTGCAGGGTCAGAAGGTTGAGCACTGCTGTCCTCATATGGAACACCATCTATGTTGTTTTCCATAGATTAACAACCAGGTATTCAATAGCCTTCTTCCATTTATTTTTACCACCATTATAAGTTAATACAGACCAAGTCAGCTGGAAGAGCATGCAGCATAAAGAAGAACACAAGAGACTGCTGCCAAAATGAAACATGGTGTGAAATACAGAATAGTAAGAAAGCAGAGCTGGAAAGGCTCTCACAAGGTTTAATCCAGTCCCCTGCCCAAGGGAGTATTGTCCCCAACTAAACCATTCCAGTCAAGCACCTGCCCAACCTGCTCTTCTCCATACTAAATAACACAAGTTTTTTTATCCTACCCTCAGCAGTCCTGTTTCCAAGGCCTCCAATAATTTTCGTCCCCCTCTGCTGGACTCCTTCCAATCTGTCCATATCTTTTTTTAATTGTGGAGCTCCAAACTAAACACAAAACTCCAGGAAAAGCCTCAAGTGCTGAATAGAGTAAAAGGATCATTTTCCTTGATTTGCAAGTGAGACTGGTTATTACAGCCCAGTATGCTGTTGGCTTTTTTTTTTGCAACAAGAGCAAACTGCTGGCACATATTCATCTTATGGTCCACTATAACCCCCAGGTCCTTCTCTGCAGTACCACAGCCTAGCCAGTTATTCTCCAGTCTTGAGCTGGATCTGCAATTATTCCCTTCTAAGTGGAGGACTTTTCTCTTGTCACTGCTGAATTTCATCTAATTAATTTTAGAGTGTTCCTCCAGATTATCCAGGTCGTTCTGAATCCTAACTTTACTCTCCTGAGTGTCTGCAACTCCAACAACCTTGGTGTCATCTGCAAATCTGCTGAGCATGTGCTCAATCCCATTGTCCAAGATAACGCTAAAAAATACTGGTCCCAGGACAGACTCTTGGTATATCTCAGTATCAAAATATATCACAGCCACTGCTCTCTCCACCTCCACAGAGGATGTTACCTTCTCACAAAAGGAAGTCAGATTGGTCAGGCATGACTTACTCTTGGTGAATGCATGCTGGTTGTTCCTGATCACTGGGTTCTCCTGTAGATGCTTTGCAACAGATTCTTTGATAACTTGCTCCATGATCTTTCGAGGTACTGAAGTCAGACTGACTGGTCTGTAACTTCCTGGATCCTCCTTCAACCCTTTCTTAAAGATGGGCACTATATTTGCACTTTTCCAGTTATCTAGAACTATCTATTCTCATTTCAGAGAAATCCTAGCCAATGGATCTGAAATTACTTCAGTTAATTCCTTTACTACCCTAGGCTTTGACCCATCTGGCCTTGCTAATTTGAAAACATCTAGTTTTTCTAAATTAAGGATTCCTTAGTTCTTCCACTACTCTTAGGCTTTTTGTCTCCTTTCCTCATTTGGCTGCTAACTGTAGTCATGATCTGGTAGCTGACTCCAAGTATTTGCTGAACTGCCTGTATATTGCTGTGTTTCCCTCCAGCAGATGTCACAGTAATCAAAATCCCCCATGAGACTTAGAAACTTCTGCTATGTTTAAAGAAGGCATCATTTACCTCTTCCTCCTGGTTGGGTGGCTTATAGCAGATGCCCACTGTGACAATGCACTTGTGGCTCTCCCCCTGAGATTTACAATATAATAGCATTAGGCAAGTAAGGAGCCAACACAGTGCTAACAACAATGAAGGGAGCACAACAGTCCAAATCACTCCACAAATCTCAGTTCATAGAGTCTGTCCACCCTGGGCTCATCAACTTAGTGGCAAATAGTCACTGAAAAGCCAATGTTGAAATCAATTTGGAAAAGGAAAACGGCCACAAAACCTCCAAGTTATGATAATTAATCCATTTCTACATTTTGATATAAATGAGTAAACAGAGAAGCAGAAAAAGCTGACTGTAGAGTCTCAATTTGTTTTCTTGTCTGAATAGATTACCTTTTAACAAAGTGTAGACCATGTAGAACATTTTAAAGAGCCTTTCTTTACATTTGGCACTACTTTATTTTTTGTAAAAATGAACTTTTGTATAATAAAAAACCCCTCCATACTTATGTGGAGACTTCAAGTATTTTAATAATAATAGTAATAATAATAATAATAATAATACCACCAATAAAATAAACACTTCTCTGCAGAAACAAAAGTCACAGCACTGAGACTCTCAGAGCAAAGCTACTTTCAGAGTAAAAGAAAAGAAAGATTTAAAGACTCTCAAACTCTGAGAAAAAAAATGTAAAAATATAAAAACTAGGACTAAAATACCACCAGGCAGTTTGATTTTGAGATGGTTTGCATTTGCAATGCTTCAAGTACTGTTTTAATGAAAAATTAAAACATGCAGTTCTCAAAGTTAACAACAATCCTTTAGTCCCTGCTTTTGATTATTAACTTTATATCTAATGTTATAAACAAAAAAGCGAGATCACTTACAGCATATGCCACTGAGTCAGACAAATCTTTTTGCTTTTCCATATTTCTCTTTTTCTGTTTTTGTGTTGTCACATCCCCACAAGAGAGGAACTGAACAACAAAATTAGGAGTGAAAATAATTACATGCAAAAGGCTTATCAAAATTTACAAAGTAAATAAACTAAGAATTCTTAGTCCTTTATTTCCTTTGAGTAATTAAAGTATCTAACAATTTTGTCAGCTACTTTCAACAAAAACATGCAAAACATTTTCAGACAGATGTACAATGTTATGATTAACCTTTAAACACTGTTAGCTGTCCCATTCTTGTAGTTCTCTCTCATTATTGCATAACATTAGGACTAGGACTACGGCTGACTGAGGAGGAGACATGTTTCTTTTGCTCAAATCTTAAACATTTCTGAATCTGAATTGGAAAAGAAACTTAAAACGGTTACAAGAAAAAAAATCTCACAGAATGCAATATTCTTACGTTTAAAAAAATGTATAAGAAAATGATTTAACATTGTTAAACAGATTAGACATTCTGAAATTTAAAAAAGGCCTGACATTTTTCAAATTGATGCCATGAAATGTTTAATTTTTTCAAGAAAATAAAAATGTAAAGGTGCTGAACCTAATCCTTTCTTTAGAAAAATTTTGTGAAACAAATGTCAATCTGCTCCACCTATGAACAACTTTGCCAGTACTGTCACAGTAAAGACTGTTTCGTAACTTTACGGATGTGGACAGTTAAAGGATTAATCATGTAACTGATAAACCCAGTGATAACCGGTTATAACTAACTGCTTATCGCTTAGCCTGGGGCTGGGCGCAGTCCGGAAGGGGAGGGAAGCCAAGCCTTGTGATGCCCCAGCAGGAACTGGAAGGTGGCAGGGCAGGAGGTGGGGGGGAAAGAGGAACTAGTACCTAATACAGAGGGATAGGCAATCATTTCGGCTGGAGGGCTTCCTAATGAGTTTTGGTGAGCTGTCGAAGGCACCATGGGTAGCCCTGCCCCTTGAAAGTTGCCCTGCCCCCGGTCACTATATTGGGACCGGAAGTCCTGCCCCCTGACCTTTGCCACCAGAAGTTCCTCCTCTTGCCCTTAAGAAATACTCCTTTTGGGAAGGGGGTTGTCATTTTAGAACCAGAAAAAATCCAAATCATACACTGTCATATTGAATGTAATATTTGAATGCTTATAATAGTTGCCCATTAGCCAGTTTAGGAAGAAGACAAGATTTATCTTATCTAGGCCGTTGTTTTGGTCTACGTGCAGAAGGTCCTGACTTTGCTCAAAGTCTTAACTCTCGAATTTTATCTTTAGAGGCCTTTAACAAAGTTAACCTAAAAATGACCCTTAAGCAAACATCCCACATTCCGAGAAATCAAAACCTAGGAGCCTTTTAAAAGACTGGAAATAAAAGTCAATTCAGTGATATGGAAATTCCTCAAAGTAATTAAAATGGTCAACAAAAGAAACTAATTACCAAGCAAAAGAATCTGTTAAGTAAGATCTGAGCCCAAATTTGGGAGTAGTGACAGGTTTGGGTAGGAGGGGCCCAAGACGGCAACTCACTCAATAAAAACTGTAACCTACTGTCCCAATTTGGAGGTAACCTCACTTGCAGAACAACGAAGGAAGAATCGCAAGTGTAGGCCGAATCAGACTGATCACCTGAAACACCCTCTCCGTGAACACGAATCTCTTAGTTCACGCTGAAGCCGTGGAGCACCCGAAAGGGACTGAAGGAAGGGGACTTAGTCCTATCAGTATTGAGGCCAGCCCATTGAATCGTATTGCTGAGGCGAGCCCATTGAACCGTACTACTGAGGCCAACCCATTAAATTGTACTACTGAGGAATGAAAGCATATCTAGATGTTTGGCTTCTCGGAATTCTAGGATTGTAAGTATATTCTTAATGTCTGTGGTATTTCTTAAAGCTAAGCAGTGTTATATGTGTAGCAAAGAATTTTAAAATAAAATTGTGTTGTATGAATTAAGTGTGTAATCATTGTGAAATCGTGCAATCAACTAACTACTCCCCCAGCCAGTACATCAAACAAATCAGTAAGTTGTGTGGGATTTTCTCTATTCCATAACCCACTAGAGACATATACTAGGTGTTTGACCTTTAGTGTAACATTTCAATTTTATTACAAAAATATTTGTCATGATTTGTGTTTGTGTGCTGTATATAGAAGAGATTGTGTAATAACTCAAAAATAAAGTCTCACTCTTTTATTTAGTGTGGGGGTGTATGGTGTGGTGTAGGGGGGATGTGTATGGCAGCGTGTGGGGATGTGGCTGTGTGGGTCTGTGAGGTTGGTGGGGTGTGAGGGAGGGTGGGGGTTGTGGGGACCCCCCACAGAGCACACAGCCCTCACTACCAGCAGCAGCAGGTGGGATGCTCAGGGCACTCGTGCCCAGCGCAGGCACTGGCGCCTGGTGGGGCATGCCTCTGGCCAGCACTGCATGCAGGTGCAAGGAGCGCAGCCTGCCTGGCCACCTCTATTCTGGGGGCTCCATGCTACACACCCATAGCTCCCATGCTTGCACTGGGGGACTTGACAGGAAAGCAGGGGGTGGGGCTGCCTCCATTCCCAGCAGAGTCCAGGGACCTACACGGCAAGAGGCGGGGAAGACAGCCGGCTCCAGCACAGGCCTTCCCCCAGTGTGAGTGCGGGAGCTGCAGGCACATGGCCCCCATGATAGAGATGGCAGCAGGAGCCAGCTGGGAACCATGGGGGCCAGGCTGGCTCCTGCTATATTCTGCGGTCCCAACATTGCAGCCAGGAACCGCGTGGCACAGCATAGAGCCGGCTGGGCACCCCCTGGCAGTGCACAGTTCCCGGCTGCAACGCCAGGACCGCACAGTGCAGCAGGAACCAGCACGGCCCTTGAGGCTCCGCTGCCATCAGTTCTGGCCCTGGGGCCCTGTGCTCCCACCCACTGCCACTTTTCCTCTCCCCCCACGCCTACCACCACTGCTTTTCCCCTGCCGCTTCCCTTCCTTCCCTGCCTGCTGCTACCCCTTCCCCCCACCTGTTTTTATCTGATTCTCCACTTTCGGTGAAGGGAGGGCACAGGAACAGCCCCAGGGTCATCAGGCCAAAAGCCTCTGCTAGGCAAAAGATTCCAGCTGGGGCTAGCGGGGACTGGAGTTGGGGCTGGGTTGGGCAGGCCTTGTTGCTGCTGGCACCTTGTCATCTTTGACAAGCAGCCATGGGAAGATAATACATTTTCTAATTTTTTTTAGGGACTCAATGGGCCAGACAAAATGGCCTGGTGGGCTGGATCCAGCCTGTGGCCTGTGTTTTGCCTGCCCCTGACCCAAGAGCTAGGCTCTGTGGACCCTGGTGCAACTGCTTGCAGTCTCCCTGCCACCTGCCATGAGCAGTCCTAGCTTCAAGGTAGGACCCTGGCACAGAACACAGCTGCTCATGGCAGGCAGTGGGGAGGCTGCAAGCAGCTGCACCAGGGTCCACAGAGCCTAGCTATTAGGTATTAGTCACCCCCCACTCCTGTGCTGCTGCAGCTGGCCCCCAGAAGCTGCACACTGGTGGCTGCAGTTGACTGGTAAAGCCCCGTGCTGGCTGCTGCTACCCATGGCTTCCTGGGCTGGGCTGGGCTGGGCTGGGCTGGGCTGGGCTGGGCTGCCTCCATGGCAGCGTTTATCAATGCTTTCATATCCAGCTCCGGCAGGTGGATGCAGCCCCTCCTCTGCAGCAGGGAAGGGCAGGGCAGGTGCTGGCCTAGGGCTGAGCATCTGCCCCTCCATCTGACTTATCAGAGCCATGGCTGGAGCCCAGTATTGTCACGCCTGGACCCATCCCTGCACTCGGCAGGATGCAGTGCCTTCTGTTGCTACAGCTGCCACCAGGCCTGTGGAGGTAAGTGGGTATGGAGCAGCTCCCCTGGGTCTGTGGCTCAGCACCATGGTGTGCCCCCCTCCCCCTGTCCATGCCCAGACCTGGGCCCGGTGTGTCATGAGGCCTGGCCCTGGGAAGCTGCTAAGTCTCCACCACACCTTGGGAGGCTGGAAGCACCCTGCTGGTGCCTAGGTGGGCAGGGGTACCCTACAGGCTGGGCCAGAGTAGCCCTACATGAGCTAGGCTGGGAGTTGCCATACCAATAAATTGCTTAACCACTGTAATTACAGCAGGTTAAATGGATATTTTTAAAATCAGTATTTACATTCCCTATTTAAATTTATTTCCAGTTCTCCTAAATTGCTGCTTCCTTATGCATATTACCTAGACCATACGACAATTGCCTAATTGTCTTGTATTTCTACAGATGAATGATCTGGTACTATTTTTTAGTTAATTCTCTGGGAATAGGGCCTGAAAAATTCACTATTAATAAATCACCATCAGAGCTCAAAAGCACCCAATTTCTGAAGAATTGAAGTGCTTAGGTAAAAAAGAAGCATCACCAGTCCTTTGTGAAGATAATATTCCAGATGGAAACTAACAAACTAGTACATTGTTATCCTCCAGAGTCTTTAGTCACATAACACTTCTGCTACCAAGAAGCAAATGGAACTAATTAGACTCTGGTCCATTTTCCAGCTACTACTCAAAACAGAAAAGAGTTCCTGTCAAAATAGTGTCAGGTTCATTCCACTGCTGCTACTGAGGGAATGCATGGGCAACAGGAGCAGGGGTCAGGGAGGAAGGAGGCACAGAAAGCTTAAACAGCTCAGGTCTTGTGCTTTAAGAAGCAACCAAGAGAAGCTGGGTAAAAGTTGTTTAGTTGGAAAGCTTCTTTTTCAGAGTACCCAGGAAACTACTGGAAAGAGGCAAGGCATCAGGGAGCTCACGTCTTCAAGCCTCTACTACCGCTTGAAGGCAGGTAAAAATGGAGACCTGTTGGCTATTCTCCCTCGTAGCAGTCAGTATTTTCAACAGGGATTTGGGTTTTCCCCTTTAAAAGGAGAAAAATGTGGATTTTCTTCTTTAAAGAAGGAAACCACGGGTTTCCCCTTGCAGGCTGGCAGAGTTCCAACCTTGGATTTTTTAGCAGAGAAAACCAGGGTCCCTCATTATTAAACACTTACTAGCCAGAAGCAGCTAAATGAAAAAGGAAAAAAGCCAGACTCCT